CCCGGGGACGGCCACGTCGCGTCCCCCGCGTTCTGCCGGGTTTCACGCCGCGAGCCGTTGGCGCCACGACGTGGCAGCACGTGAGGCGTCCGTGCCTCAGATTTAACACCTCATGTTCGTGTCCTGACCCTCACTCCGGTCCTCGCTCCGGGACGCCCTCGTGAGATTGAGCTTCCCGCTCCGGTAACCGTCGGAACGTAGGTTTCTGCTCAGTCACGGTGGCTGCGACGTGGGTCCCGGGTATTATAGCAGGACGGGCACCTCTCACCCGCGGTGTGGCCGCGCGAGCCCCGCACGGGCACCCGCTGTGCTGTCCAGGAGTGGACGTGCCTGAGCCCTCGCAGTCTGGGCGCAGTGCCCCCCGGGACAGTCCCCCAAAGGGCTGGGGTCAGCATCGGGCGCCAGTCTCCGCTGCCGACTGCACAGCAGCTTCCCTCGCAGTTTGCCTTTTCGTCCATCGTTCCGATTCTTTCTTTCCCCGACGCCGCGTTTAAGCCAGGCTGCTCAGGAGCGTCACGGACGTCGCTGATGTCAATGGCATCAGCACGCGGAGCCGTGAAGTTCAGGCGTGCGGCTTTCCCACGCTGTGCATTTCAGTAATTCAATTTCTTTCGTTTTCCTTCGTCTCCTGCCTGCCTGGTGGCAGACAGCTTCATAGAGTCTCTGTAGGGGTCTCATCTCTGTCGCTTCAGGCCTTTAATTCAGCAGTGTGCACATCCGAGACTGTCCGGGGGTCTCCCCTCCTCTCTGCCCACCTGCCTAGGTTCTGAGCTCCCGGGATGTGCGCATCTACCCCCCAGATCCCGGCTGAGTCTCCGGGGGGCTTCTCACTGCATGTCCCGTGTGGGTCTGTGTCAGAAGGACTTGGACTCGGCCGCCCCTCCCCACTTCCGGGGGGCCCAGGCCCGCGGAGAGGCCCCGTCGTGGCCAGAGGTTTCTGTAGGAGGAGAGCCTGACATCACGGCCTCTGCTGTCAGGCCTCCAAGGCCTCAGTGCGTTAAGGCGGGACAGGTTAACGGGGGCCGACATCAGCCCGAGCCCCGAAGGGTTCCTTCCCGCCGCCCAGCGCCCCGAGCTGTCCGCCCGTGGCCTCCTCGCTGCCTCTTTGACGTCCCAACAGGTGCTCCTTGGGACAGTGGCACGGAGTGGGTCCCAGCACTCACTTGTTATGGGAATGAATGAATGGAGGGAGGGAGGGATGAATGAACGAATGAGCAGAGGGGCAGAGTCGCTCGGCTTCTTCGCTCCAGGCCGTGTCCTCAGGGGCCGAGGGCAGGGGCCGGGCCGCACCTGCCTGACGTGTCCCGACCGCACGCAGCGCTGCCTGGTCGCCGCTCCCGCCCACGAGCCCTGACTCGTTCCTTCTCTGCTGCCGGACACCTGCCAACACCGTCCCCCCAACCTTTCCGTCTCCCCGCCATAGCCTCGGTGTCCTACCCCGCAGAAACGGCGCCAGGCATAAGCCTGAGCTGCTGACCCGGTTTCAAACTTCCTAGAGAAGCAGGTGAAATAATTACAGCGCGCCTAAAATACTGTCATTTCCACACGAAACCGGTATTTTAAAACGGCCGATTTCACAGCCTCCTGTCGCCGTGAAGTCTTTGGGATGCGGCACGCGCGTGTGTCGCACTCACAGCGTGTCTGCACTCAGTCAGCCCACACATCAGGCGCTCGGAGCCCCTCGCGGCTCCCGCAGAAGCAGGTCCTCGGCTGTCGGGACTCAGGACCACGAGCGTGGCGGGGGCAGTGGGCAGCCAGGCCGAGCTCGGCACCTGCCTCCACGTCCCGCTCCGAGACGGGGCAGTGGTGCCCACCCCACCGGGAGCGGGTGAGGACAGCCCAGCGCCGACGCCCAGTGGGCACCTAGGGCGTCCAGCCGCACTGGTGGCCTTGGGGCCTCTGCACAGCGCCCCGGGTCTCGCAGGCCCCGCTGCAGCCCTCGGACGGGGTCGGGCGGGGCCCTGACACCTGCTTCTTCCCCGCACCCCTCAGGGCCCAGCAGAGAAGAGTGCATTCACTGCGCCCCGAACTTCCTCTTCCAAGACTGGAGGTGCGTGCCAGCCTGCAGCGAGGGCTTCTTCCCCGAGGACACGCCTGGCCTGCCCCACAGAGTGTGCCGAAGGTACGGGCCCGGTGGCCACCGTCAGCTCCCGGCGCGGTCCCCGTCCCCAGGGCCCGGGGACGGGCGCCACGCCCCGCCACTGAGGCGGGCACCGTGGGCGAGCGGGGGCCCGCTCACGGAGAAGGGGACCCCTGCGGTCCGTGCTCGCCAAGGTCTCCGCTAGTTGGCGGCTTTCATTCCTTGGGTCACCGAAGGAGCGTTTGTTGAGCACCTACTGTGTGCAGGCACCGGGTGGCCTCACAGCCCGGCTCAGACGCCTGGTGGCTCCCACCTGCGCCCCGCCCGCGGTGCCTTCGGCCGCTGGGCATTGAGGAAGCCCCGTGCTGGGCTCCTTAGAGGTCGTCGTCAGACACCCGAGGGAAAAGGACGGGCCCTGGCGGTGCCCTCGCGTGAAGCCGTGTCCTCCCCGTCGGGCGCGCGCGTCCACCCCACGCGTGACTCTCGGTCGGTGGCTCTTCGCCCCATGCTGCGCCCTTCCGTCCAGGGTGAGACCGCCGTCCTGTCCGGCTGAGTCGCCTGTTCGGTCAGGGTCAGAGCGGCAGCGGGGACATGGAGGGTGGCCCGGAGGGTCGTGGTGGGGGCGGGGGGGACCTTCCTTCTGAAGTAGACTAGGCCCAGGGCAGGGCAGACCACGTGACACCTGCCAGACCCGCTGCGGGCTCTGCCTCCCCAGGCTGCGTTTGAGAACAGCTCTGCGCTGTCACCCAGTCTCCTAAAAA